CGGAGGATGCATCTGTAGGATGCGGAGTCACTTTCCTCCGCGCGTGGCGATGCGCTGCTGACCTCAGAGCCCCGTGGCGCTGGCGCTGCCGGCGGGGCCTTTCCCAGGCAGAGGGCTAATTCCGTACCCTCCGGGCCGGATGCGGTATCTCGTCACCAGCACCCGTTAGAGAAGGGAAGAGCATTGTGTGGGACCTTGCTTTTTTTAAAACTATTTGTGACCCCGGGACCAGCATGTGAGCGAGAGCCACTGCTGGAGGAAGGGGGGGAGGGGGCAGAAAATTCCCAGATCCCAGCTCTCCCTGGGAAATCCCCAGAAAGCTCCCAGGCGCTTTCTTTCCCAGCACACAAGCTCCCACGTGCCGGGGCCGAGCAGCAGGTGCAGGTCCGAAGCACTGGGCACCTGGGGAAGACGGCGGCGGGCCGGCGCCCCGCCGAGGGGGGCCGGGGCTGCGGCACCGCCTGCGGGTACGCACCAGCGGGACGCAAGAGGGATCGCAAACCCCAGTGAGCTCCGGAGACCACGCTCCGCACCCCGAAGGTTGGCTCGTCTAAGAAACAACCCCGCGAGCCACCAACCATGGGACGTCCTGATGCTGCTGCGCTGCCCGTCCCAAGCGCAGCCAGCGGAGACGCCACGGGAGGGGGATCGTCCCTCCCCAGAGCCCCCCAGTCGCCCCCAGCGCCCCACAGCAGCCCTTCAGCTCCCTCACTACTTATTCGGATTTGCTTGCGGCAGGAACGCGCCTGGATCCCGCAGGCACCTGGGCGAGTCCCTGCTGGGCTCAGGGGCTGCGTCAGAGGCGCTGCCAGGGCCGGGGCACGGTGGGAGAGGGGCCGGGGCTTCCCGCCAGGACCATGGCGCGCGGGAGAAGGACCAAGGGACAGGCGACAGGCACCGAGGAGCACGGGGCCAGCCATCGCCCGCGGCCACGCAGCCGCTGCCTCCTCCGGGGAGCCGGCACCGAGGCAGCTCGCACGCCGGGAAGGGCCCGCAACCAATTCTCATGGAGGCTGAGATGCCTCTGCTGTGAGCTCAGCCAGTGACTAACTTGTTTGTCTCCCCTGGGAGCTGCACTGAGCTCTTGGGAGGCAGCAGATCCCCGCCAGCTCCTCTGCCTGTTCCAGGCGCCGCCCCCAGCCCTTTCCTGAAAAACACTCTCGGAAAACAGAGAGGCGCGGTGACACACCACCACGTCCCCTCGCTGCGAAGGCAACCGCGGCAAGCGGCTGTGCCGCCTCTTGCCAGACCAGTGCGCCTGGGAGCGCGACGGCAGGGACGCTGGAAGGACTCGGAAGGCCTGAATTTTGGAAAACCGGGCGTGGAAATTACGGCACAGGACAGATACCCCACGGGGGAATGGCACTCGCTGCGTCGCTGGGGCCATTTGTCTACGCAGGCACCGGGGAGGCACAACTGAGACCTCGCCCTGCCCCATACCCGGAGTGACGCCATCCCTGCCCCAGAGTGACCTAGACACGCAGCACCACTCAGGATGCGTCCCATGTGCCGGGTGGCAGCAGGGATCACCCGCTTTGGGAGGCTCTGCCATCCCCACCGCCTGAGCACAGCTTGTCCCCAGCTGACAGGGACGCCCTGGGCCACCCTCCACCTCTGAGCGGCCTCAGAGCACCCGCAGGGAGGAGCGGGCTCCGGGGGGCTTCTCCTCAGCACCACAGAGGGGGCGCGGGCAGCTGCCGACGGGACGAGCCGGGGTCCGGGGGGCTCTACGCTCCCCTACAGAAACATCACATTTCATAACGCGACAGGTTACAGCCACCCACATGTAACCAAACCCCAGAGCTCCAGTGCCACCGTGTGTCCTCGCCCCACGCTGCCAGCCCCGTGTCCCCAGGGCCAGCTGCGTGCTCCCGCTTTCGGATCCGGCTCCCCCTCCATCTGTGCCCAACGGCAGCTCAGTACCACGGTCCTGCCCTGGAGATCCTAGAATCACAGCATTGTTAAGGTTGGAAAAGACCCTTAAGATCATCAAGTCCAACCGTTAACCCA